AGTTTTGGGGAAGGAGTGGTTTGGGCTTTTAGCCCAAAAAAATAAAGGAAGTTTTCAGTTCAGCGTCTGTCTTCTTCTGCAGAGGAAACTTGCAGAATAATGTTTAGGGTTGTTTTAGTCATTAGAGGTGAAGCACACAATAATGGCCAGCCTATGTTTGTACAATTGGAGGATATTTCTCATAATGAAGGAAGTCTCCAAGGTCAGCATCTACAATACCCGGAGAAGTTACATCACAAAGCCACAGCTGCACCAGCCTGCTCTCTTCCCCTGCTTCACCCCCCACCTTTTATTTTTGCACACATCTCTTGCAAGAATACCATGGTTTTGATTTGGGCTTGTTATTTAGCTATTAAACACACCCCACTCCACCTTCAAAAATGAAACCTGAATGTTTTTTTTAAAGTTTCATTATAGTCTTCTAATATCCTGTACATTCCCAAACTCCATTTGTCTAGCTTCTGGTTTTGCAATGAGAAATACATTGTACTGTGATGATGGCAGCAGCAGCACCGCCTGGATCTAGTTTGGGCCTGTGCATTTTTGTTAGCTCCTCTCATGCAAGGGCAGTAGGCACGGCAGCTCACACCTTTGTGTTGTTCTTTGTCTGAAGAAAAAGGCTCTGTGCTATTTTAGAAAAATTTGCAAGAGGGCCAAGAGAAAAGGCTAAATCTTAATTTTTATAGTGCACTTTGTGTCTCTATTTACTATGGAAATTAATGTTACTGGTACATAAAACACCATTTGGAAACCTTGGATATAATCTGTTTCTTTCTTGGCATTTTTCTTTTTGTGTGTGTTCTATACATGATATTTCAGTGCAAGGGCTCTCTTTTATAATCCTTTTTTTTTAGCAGTATTTTTCATGAGTGTTTGCTTGGTTTAGCTGTTACCAAACCATTTACTAATTGATTGTTAATCTAAAATCAGCTTGTCTTATAATGGAAAGAATAAGAACAATCCTAAGAATCTTACCTGTTCCTTTTATTTGTTTTCCAACCTCCTGGTGAGGTTTTCTGTTGTTCCATCAACAGGATAGTAAAGTTAGAGGTTGCTCTACATACTTCTCATTGCTGTAGACCTTTTTCTGTTTATACCCAAAACTCTGACTCAATGCTGTTGAAGTCAGCCAAGTCTCTCCCTGGCTTCAGGTTGTTCTGAATCAGCCTATAAACCTAAAATTCAAAGCTGCTTCTAACAAAGAAAACAAAACATCTTTCCTTCAGTTCCTTACAGAACTTGTGTTGAGGTTTAAGCCTGTTGTTCACATCTAATCATGTTCACCTGTGATTATTCCAAGCATCATATGTTTGTGTGAAATCACCTAGTATTCAGTATTTCCTTCATTGCATTTGGTTAATCTACAATTAATGCATTTTAAAAGGGCGGTGGTGTTCTGCCATCCCTGCCCTCTCACTCTGCAATTGAGAATGGTGGTTAGGAAGGGTTTTAAGCGTCATCTAGGTAGTTAGGTAACCCCTGGTATTTAAGGAGGTGAGAATACTCACTGATCTTCTTTTAGGTGTGGACAGTTGTGAGATAGGTTGAATTGGACAAGTTGAAGGAGGATTTTTAAAGTTGAAAATATGTGTTTTGGAAGGTGTGCTAGATGTGTTGGTTATAAGTTGCTCATCCTTGCCCTCCTCTGCATTGTGGCCAACACTTTACTTTATTTTCCCAATGGTGAAACAAGATTTGCTTCAGAGCATCACCTCAGCAAATATGTGGAGTGCCTTCATGGCATTCTAGGTGGAGGCTTTCTGGTAAGTAATAACCTAGTGTCTTCTTTCAAATTTATTTTGGAGGTACTTGGTACTGCTCTTTCTCTACTGGTTACCTGAATTTATTCATCAAATATCTTTGTCAACAGGTGTCTCTGTAGTTGTATATATAAAAAAGAGCTATATTATCTGTTATAGCTATAATTAATTATTATTGATTTTGTTATCTACAACATTATGTCACTTTAAAGCTAAAAAATCATAGGGTCAGGGGCACAGAATCCAAATGCAAAAGTGAAACCAAGCCTCTCAGCAAGTCACAGTTAGCATAAAGGGTTAAATCTTAAATTTTTGTTATATTACTGAACTACTTTAATTTTAAATGTCCCTAAATAATGAGCATTTAGATATAATTCCTTAATTTCTATTATCTGACATGCTGACAGGTATTTCTCTGACTTAGCTGTTTATTCAGAGGAATTGAGTGGTAGTTGTCAAAGCTTTGCCTTTGAGTAACAGGATGCAAGGACTGAGTGTGTTTGTTGTAGGATGTCATTAAGCTGAAGTTCTTAGTTTCTATCTTTTCAGTTTTGTGGATCACACTGCAGCATATTTTAGACCTCTAACTCCAGGCTTCCTTTTTCATCTTCTTTTACAAGTCCTCTTAGAAATAGGTTATAGGTCCCTTCCAATTCGTAAGACTGTATGATTTTATGCTCTCAAGGTGTCTGCAAATCACAGGTTGAAAACAATTGCATGCTAAGGTGTTTTGTGTTGTGAGAGGTGCTTACAGCTGTATTACAGTCCCATTGGGACCTAGAGTGGGAATTGCAAAGACTGGGCTTTACACATAGGATAATACAAATGGAACCAGTGGAACTTCTCCTGCAGTGTGCTTGTACAACCTCTTCTGGACTTGAAGCATTGAGGCTCAGCATCGGGTTTGAGTAAGGGTTGACAAGTATGAGTCTGTTCAACAGGATAGTTATTATTCCAGTTTCATGTTAAGTAAGTCTGTGGCATTTGCAAATAACTCTCTACCCTTTTTTATTTTTTTTCCAGAGTACTCTTGGGTGTAGAGTCTTAAGTGGACACTGTTAAGTGCTATTATTGCTGGTGGGAGGATCCCCTTTTTAATCAGCTCCTTCTTGTTCATTCAGCTCCTTCAGTTCATTCTTGATTTTATGCTAAAAACTCTGGATGGTTTATGCTTTTCATGGATAGCTTCTGCTTTGTTACTTTGCATTTCTGTCACTGGGAACTGGTTGTGAAATCTTGGAAAAAAGTAGATGTCTATAATAAGATGTTTGTCTGAATTGAGCAAAATTTTATTAGACTTTCTACTGTAGTCAGACTGGTTTTTCACACAGGTAATGATGATTGCTCTTAAGTAACAAGTATATTAGCAGCAGCTGTTTTTCAAATAACTATTTTGTAGTCCTCATTGGAATAAAGCTAATGCCTTTTTTTTTTTTTTTGCAAAGCATTTTATTTGCAAATACAGTGTTTAATGAAAAGAGAAATTTTTAAAGCTGAAATACTTTAAATGCAGCAACACCCCAACACTTTCTTTCTGTATTTAAGTGCAATATTGCAGCAGTGGCAATAGACACATATGTGTCCTGGGGTTGGTAATGTCAGCAGTGACATGCCAACTGTGTTAAATAGGAGTGAAGCTGAATGACCTGTACAGCTTACTGCCAAGAAGCAACATAAATGAATGCAGTTTGAGTACTGTATTATATCTGCCCTCTCTGTGCAACCAAAAGGAACAGTGTGGGTTTTTTGCTCCATACCCAGGTACTCATTCCAGCTGCAGTGTTCATTGGGCTTCACGATGACAACTGCTGTGGGTGCTTTGGCCAGGAGGGCTGTGGAAAGGGCTGCGCGGTAAGTGAGCCTGTCCATCCCAGTCCAGGTAATGCCAAAGACAAGGCCATGGCTGTGCTGAAAGTTCATGTTAATGTCTGCTCTGCAGATGCTGTCCTCAGTTCTGGCAGCCCTTGTTGGGATCCTTGGCTCTGGGTACTGTATAATCATTTCAGCGCTGGGCTTGTCTCAAGGACCGTATTGTTTTACCCACCTAGAAAGAAACTGGATCTATCCTTTCACTGACTCCTCTGGGGGGTAAGTCATCTGTTCATGAGGATGTTATCTCTTGCCAATGTACACATGGGCTTTATTCCAGTACCTTTCAGCAATGTTCAGTAACCATATACCAAAATCTATTCATAACTCTATCCTTCCCAATTCAAACTTAACAAATGGCATCAATTACCCTTGCTGCTAGAGTATAAAATCAAAGCCATTAAAAAAATATAGGTGATCAAATCTATACATCATATACTGTTCATGTCCAGGAACATCTCTAACAAAATATAAAGCTTTAGGACTTTGAAGGATTTACAAACTAGGAATAGAGATTGTTAAGATATTTGTCTAATTGTTTGTAAGAGTCTGTTTTGTCAAATTTGTTTCTGAAGCTGCTTTGCTCCAGCATTGTGGCACAATGCCCACATTAGTGACAATGGCATAGAATCTCATAAATGAAACTTGAGATGATTTATAAGAATCTTTGTACACTGCAGGGCAGAGAGGGCAAGAAGCTCCTAACTAACCCTAATTAAGGTTCTCCTGCAAAAAAAGTCTCAGTGTGCTATTCTCCATTAATGCACATAAATTCTGATGTGGTTCATATCATGGTGGGCATTTAAAGTGGCTGTATGGCTGGCAACCTCAAGGGTGTATCTAGCAACATTTTATGGCTGATGCCAGACTAGAGACAGCTGGAGTACTAAGAAGCCACATAAAGCTCTTTGCAGCAGAGTTTGAATTTTATATTTCACTTGTATCTCTTGTGTATCTTGTATTTCACTTATTTCATTCCTCTTTCTCCATCTTTCTGACTGTGACTGAGTGTAGAAGAACTAGTTTAGGTCCTTGCTGAAGGCAAGTGCTGACGTTCTCAAGATGTGACTGAGCAGTAACAGCTGAAATACTGCAGTACCTCACCAAATGTTTTCTGTGTTTGGCTCATCCAAGTAAGCATATGAGGGCCCAAAGACAGTGACACAGGAGAGAAAGTGACCCATTTGCTTCAGATCAATGATTGCTATCTTTAGAAAAAAAGCCCAATCTTGCAAAGCTCATGTGTTTGTTTTGAGAAAAACCTTTGCTCTTTCAGCTTACTTGAGTTTATGTCTCACTTTAACCAGCGATAGGAAACCCTAACCTGCCTTTACACCTTAGATTATTTTTTAAAAAAGAAATTAAGACTTAGCAAAAATGTGTGGTTGATATTTCAACATCTTCCTAAACCAAAGAAACCTTGCATGGAGTAAACCATTGCTTTTTCTATTCCCTTAGGAATCTATTTCCAAGGGAACCTAGCCTATTAGGACTCCATAGAGTGAATAGCCTCAATGCAGTTACAGGCTAGACATAATTTGGTTATAGTATATGGTAAGTATCCTACTCTAACACAATGTTAATATGCTTTTAATTGCTGTGTACAGGTACTTGTTTGAGTATAACAAGTGGTCTGAATGTCAGGAACCTCAAAACATCGTGCAGTGGAACGTCACCCTCTTTTCCATCCTGCTTGTTTTGGGAGGAATAGAATTCATTCTGTGCTTCATACAGATAATCAATGGCATTCTTGGAGGACTGTGTGGGTTGTGCTGCAGTCATGAGGAGGTAAGTAGTTTGCAGATATACCCATGCTTCTCAGATGAACATGTAACTTGTTACTTGTACTACTGAGAAGTTTTACTCAGCAGTTACTTTATAGGTATTCTTAAGCAACAATTCCCTGTATAGCTGTTCCTATAGCTCTGCTGTGATTGGAATTCTCATGCAGTGTTTGATCACATGCTTTCAGCTGATTGCTCAACTGTCACAGTTATGTTAATCTGCCTAAGAGCTGGGAGCTAGAGGGCTTTTGTCTGTCCGATGACATGCAATCATCACACTGCGTAGGTGATATAACTGAGATACAGATCTCCTGGTGTTTGTGGTCTTTGCCTAAACCATTGTGGTGTATTGTGGTGCTTGTTCTAACTATATTGTATTAGTCTTGGCTTTTGTCCACAGCAGCTCATAAGCTACTGACAATATGTTGCATATAATGAAAACTGCAGCATCCTGGCCTTGCATAGTGGAAGTAAGATAAGAGAAAGAATTAAACTGCAAATAACTAATAAATTCTGCAGACAGATCTGGAAGGTTTTGGAAGGTGGATTTTTTTTGTGAGTGAGGAAAGGAAATTTTCTCCAAATTTCTTTAAAGCCTTGTTAAATAGTTTGAACATATTCCAAAATCAGTATCAGAGTGCTAGTGTTGGAAAAACCATGGTTTAAAGCATGAACCAGATATAATTTATATCACACACTATAGGTAAGCATGTGTTTCACATTTTCAATTGACACAGTTGAGTGCTGGGGCCTCTTTCAAAGCTATTGCTGCTTTCTTCCTCCTGTCTACCTTGCTCTAACTCCAGTATAGAAGAGCTATGCTATGGTTTTCTAAATGTGGTCAGGTAATTTTTGCATTTTTAGTTGGATACAATATTAGCATTCTTTCCATTAATATGTTTCTTTCTTTTTGTTCCTCTCCACAGACATATGTTTGCTAGAAACCTCACCATGTATTGACATCGGTGCATGTGTGTGCTGTAATGAATATACTGTGGATTTTTTTTTAAAATATTCCAGGCAAACTGAAATACACATTGTTGTCAAACTGTGCTGTTGCCATGAATTTAACTGACTTGGGGCCTTTGCTGTTGGAGTCATATGCAGGTTTTCCACTAACCTGCCTGAACTGAAAGTAAATGTATCCTGAATATCTTTGGTTCATTTCATCTTGGTACAGGCAACTGCCTCAAAATATGTCACTAAAGTGACTTTATTTATTTTTCTCTTTCCACTGACACAACAGCTCTGTACTTTGTCCTGTTTTCCCAATAAAGTTGCTCTTTCATTCCGATCTTGGAATGAACACAAACCAAATCCAGTCTGGCCTGGATAAAAGGTTTTGGTTCGCTGGACCAAAACCAAAGCAGCAGTAAAATGTGGATGACTGAGGGCTTTTAAGGATTTTTCTGAACTTTCCCTGTATTTCACAAATAAAGATTTGTATTAAAAATACCCAGGAGGTGTCAGTGATTCCTTCCCTGCCTATGTTGAAACACTTCTTGTCTGGTCTTGGAGTAAAGGACAGTGGTGGCCTGAGAACATGGATTTAATGCAGTCAGGTTATAACCTGTTTTTCCTCTCCAGCAGGCTCTGCCAGAGTAGGAACTGCTTCCTTGCTTGGTTTGGCTCATTGAACTGAAACAGGTGTTTGTTCCTCAATAAGGGTTCACCAACAGCTCTGGGTCAGATGCAACAGCACATGTGGAGACTCAGTCCTGGGTCAGGGCTGGCAGGTCTCAGCCAGGGAGCTGAGGGGGTCCTGGCACACCTGAGCCCAGCTTAGCACCTCCTGCTCTCCAAGGGGGATCACCCCTGATTGCTCCATTACAGGCCTGAGATAAAACAAGATGTGGGCATGACTCTTGTTTTGTGCCTCAGCTACCCTCAGGCCTCACAGCGTTCAAGGAATGCAAATTCAGGTCAGTAAAGACAGATTAATCTGAAATACCTGACTTTACCAGTTATCAGCCTGAAGGCATTACTGTAAGGTCCTGGGTAAGAATCTCTGAAGTATAGCTTGTTGCACATTAGAGTGAATGTTCCATCACAAGTACATCTGAATAATGTGCTACTGACAGCATTGCTGGCAAAGCTAGCATGGTAGAATTGCTGCTGGCAATGGCATTCTTCAAGTGAAAACCAAAATGTTATGTGCTGTTAATTTCAAAGGAATGAGTCAGTTTTGGAATTTAGCTGCTCATTCTGTCTTTGAAAACAAACAAGTTCGTTTCTATTCATGGGATAAAAAGAAGTTCCAGTGGGTGTCAGTGCATCCTTAGGCTATTTGTAACGAGGAGGGTGGTCCTTAAAGACAGCCAGAAACTTCAGGTGTATCTCAGGCTGTCTGCACAGTTAAGTCTGCCCTGTACAAATACATACCTGAAAAAAAGAAGTGAACTGTGAAAGCAAAATTGTCTACGTACATCTACATCAGCAAAAGAATTCTCATATGACAAGAGTTTGTATCTAGAATCTTAGGATACCTGAATTTTGTAAGAGTGTTTATTCATACCTAAATACATAATATTGGATTACTCTAAATACATAGAGGTAATTGAGGGACTTTGATGCCATTTAATGCCATTTCTTTGTAGTGTCTATCCCTGTCCTGTCTTGCTATGGGAGGGAGGAAGGAGAATATGTGCATGCACATATGTATACACACAGAATTCCTTGCAGCTGTGTGATACAGTGTCTGTGTGTGTGAAGATACAGTTTTGAAAAAAAATATCTACAAGTTTAAATGGGGTGTGGAAGAAGAGAAAATGGAAAAGAAAGTCCTCAATGGAATAATGTGTAATTACCATGCAAGGATTTTTGCCTTTATTCTTGTATAATGATTATTTGTTTTTCTAGTACACACAATAACTTAACTGAAACAATTTTGCAATATATAGAATTCCAATATATAGAATGATTAGGCTAGTGTTCAGACTCAAAACTTCAGCACAAATGCATGCAGCACCAATAGATTACTGTAGCCCTAATGCACAGCATTACTCTCTGTATTGTCATGTAAAAAATGGCCAGCTGGATTATTTTGTTGTCTGGTGCATAAGACAGTGTTTCAGGAGATTTATCAGTTACACTGTGAAGAAGTGATTGGTTTAGGTTGCATTCATATCAGCTGGCAGCAAAGTCACACAGAGTAAACATGAATTTTCAGTAACAGGCTTGGAATGAATTCCTGAATAATGACAGCAATGTAAAAGCAGTGCTTGCAACACTTGGCAAGATGCTTGAGAAACTATCTTACAGGTTTGCTTAATTCTTGGTATAAAGTAGTTGTTTCCTGTTCTAGTGGCATTGTGTGCCAGAAAAATAACCACACTGAGCTTTGCAGGGCTCAGTTTAAAAGCAAAGTCATGAAGCAGACTGCTGTACTGCAGAACAAATGCTGCTTCAGTCATCATTTCTCAAGTTAGCTTCTAATCTGAAGAGGTTATAATGGAAATGACATTAAATTTGATTATAAAATAAGATGCTTGCTACTAATTTTGGCCTTTGTTTTTAAGAAAATATTTCAGCCAATTAAATGATCTTTAAGTTCTGTACTAAAAACTCATGGGGACTGGATGTGCATGATTTTTATGCAGCTGTTTTCTGTGCTCTCTGTGGCATAGTGTTGATGACATGAGCTCTGTCTCTGCCTATGAGTCTGGAAAGGCAGGTTTGCTACTAATTCTGATTAGAGGAAGACCTGAAAAAAGGTATCCGCAGTGGTGAGAGAGTAAAACACAAAATATGAGAAGATCAAGAGTGAGGACTTAAAAATGAAGCCTCCTAGGAAAAGAGGAGAGTCACAGCAGAGAACAGGTAGAAGAATGATGTAATTGTGTGAGTACCACCCTGCCCATTTCCTTGTATGATCTCATGTTAAGCGATAGTATGGAATTAGTTACAACATGCAATCCACACAGCTTTTATGAGAGGATGAGAGGAGCCTCATTTGTGACAAGCCTGAAACAGCTCACAAGGAAACACAAGGAAAATACATTGGGATGTCATTGCTTCTAAAAACGGCCTTCCTGCTTTTGATAGAGGCGCCTTTTTTATTTGTTTTGTGGTGGGGTTTTTGGGGGGGATTTTTTGGTTTTTTGAGTTTTTTTGTTGTTGTTGTTGTTGTTTTTTGGTTTGTTTTGTGGTTGGGGTTTTTTTGTTTGTTTGGTGTTTTTTTCTCTGGCTGCAACTTTGCTATTGAGTAAAGTGTAAGGTCATTCTTGAGTTACTTTTCTGGTGACTCACAGGGGCATAAGACTGAAGGCTCGGGCTGTGCTGCAAGTGTTCAAACTGCCCTGGTTCTGTGTTACTGGGATAGCGTTTAGGTGCTCAGGGGTTGGGGAATGATGACATTGATTATGGGAAAGCTGTCTGACTTTGGCTTTGCACTCTGCAAACAGCAGGCATTTCAAAACAACAGCCAGACCTTTTGTCCTGCGCAAGAAGTCACATGTACACAGGTCAGGCTTGTAGCTGTGCAAGCTCAGCTGTAAGCACAGAATGAAACAGTTGGAGACATAGCAGGATTTAATTCACAAAGTACTGGAGCCGCATAATGCTGTGGGAAAGAGTAATTGATTAAAAGTGTTAAAATAAGTCTGCCTTGCAGTTTCTAGCCAGTGTTATTTGGGCTTCTGTAGTCTCTGCAAGATGGCCCAGACTCAGCTGCTGCTGCAAGTCATTAACTCATTGGTTCCCCCTTAGGGTCCTCCTAATAAATCTCTGTAGTATAAGGCAAAGTGTGGTCTTCTGTACAGAGAGTGGGCATATTTATCTGCCTACAGCCCCCTTCCCTATGCTGCAGTAAGGTTGAAAAACCTTGCTTCTGTCACAAACTATGTTGAGTTTGTGTGTGGGGAGGAGGACATTTTTGAGCAGTCACTAGGAAATGACAGCTTTGAAGTTCCTTCCTGAGTCTGACTCCTAGACATATTTTATTTGGAAGATCACAAAGGAGGATCTTTTAAAAGGGAAATGACTACATAAAGCCATCTTTAACACAGGACAGTGAGTTTATGCAGTGATATTCATCTGTTGTTCTGCTAATTGTTAAGCACTTCTGTTCCTGGACTCACACCCCAGTCGCTGGTTCCTGTGAATATGAATTACTGAATCAAGCTGGGGAGGTCAAAATATTTCTTATATTGAAGGTGTTGTAAACTTTTATTAGCTTAGAAGAAGAAAACTTCAAGAGTTCTTGAGAGATGGCTTTGGAGACATGTGGAAACTGTTTGAGTTGCCTGCTGGTGCCTCTTGCACTTTGGAGTATTGTTGTGAATGTCCTCCTATACTTTCCAAATGGGAAAGCTCTGCCTGCTGCCAGTTACCAGTTCCCCAACCATGAGTGGTATTTTGAAGGCATCTGTTTCTCAGGTGTGATGGTAAGTGCTCAGTCTGTGAATTTTTAATGAATTGCATTCTACTGCAAATAATATTGGATTACTCTTCAGTAATGTAATTGCTTTTAAAAAAGAGCATATGGATTTCTTCTACAAAAACCACTGCAGGGAGAAAACTCAATCAAACTGAAAAAAATAGTATACTGAATGACAAGTTATGTATGTTATTAAGTGCAAATGATATCAAATGATATTGCAGGGTGTGTTGGGGGTTTTTTTCTGCTGTCTTTTTGTTTATAGGTAATTTATGCTTGCATTATGGAGGCAAACATGATGTTGATTTAATCACCTGTGGAGGTTGAATTAGAGCTCTTTTACCCAAATGAACTTGAAAGACAAATGAAAGTCCAGGTGAATGTAATCAAAAGTTTGCTTTACTGACTTTTTCTAGAGTGAATGTGTTGGCAAGGAAGGCAGTACTCTGTGTGCCTGTGTCAGCAAGAAGATGTTGAACTGATGTGTTTGTATCAATAAAATATCCTTCTTTTCATTGGTATTGATTCTTTTGTTTGTGACCTTGGTTTTATAGTTTCAGCTTCACTGGTGTGGCTGTGCCCAAGGTCACAGCACTTTACTGTGATGGTAGAGGCTGTACTCTTTGTCTTTCAAGTACAAGACACAAGTACACCAGCAGCCTACTAAAACCCCTCCAGTTCCATGTATGCCTTGAGTAATTGTGCCGTCCTCTGGATCAGATTTAAAATATCAAGACAGCAGATGAGATGCAGTCCCTGCCTTCCAAAGGTGAAGGAGACTCTGGCTTAGTATCTGCAGTTATCTCACTGACCTTATGATGTTCTCTTGCAGATCCTTCTTTTGGCAGTAATTCTGATAACACTGGAGTGTAGTGTATTCTATCGGTGCTGCCAGAGTGAGAGCTGTAACAAAACCTACAGGGTGAGTCTGTGTTTTATTTCTGCACATCACATTAGCATTTGTTTCCAACACCTCCCTGCTCCTGCTCCTGCACATCCTGCTGCCCTCTCCACTGCTCTGTTTTCACTTCCTTTCACAGAAGATTCTAAATTGGGTTGCAAGGTCACAGAAAGTGT